TTTTCATCAGCTTTGTCTTTTTTATATTTCAAGGCACAGTATAGAAGTCTTCAGATTTAAAAAGTGACATAACTACAAATGATGTGTACCTGCTAGAACCAAGATTTATTCAAAGTTGAGGGAAAAAATCCTCTCTAAATCTCATGGTGGAATGAATTCACTCACGCAAAAGGCAGAATTTATCTTGGCTACAGTGGTGTGAATACCAAAAAAACCCCAGAAACATTAAAGATAAGGCTCGAGATTTTCAGCAGTGTAGGTGGGATGTTGTCTATTCCAGAATGTCAAATGATTAACTCTCTGCAAAATGTTCCTGAGCTATTTAAATTACTGACTTCATCTATTGGAAAAAGAAGTAGTAGTAGATGGGCTTCAAGAGGTGAGATCTTTACTCTAGGATTAAGTGATGTTCTCACTGATTTCGATAGCAAAAATGACTGGAAGAAGAGGTAGAGCAAGGCTTTATGGTGGTGCAACTTTGCTTTTCCTCACACTACAAAGACTTCTTACGAGGCAGGCAGTAATCGTAATCCCTTTTCGTGTATGTGTTTACTTTTGGCAAACAAACTGCTGTGATGCAGACAGCCTTCTTACTTGTGACGGGTTGTGTTTAAAGGCAGCATAACAATTAAAAGAGAAATAACTTGCCGGAATACTTTGTGACCCTGTATGTTTTCTGTCTTTTCCTAACTAGTAATTTTATGTAATACCTGGCTCTGGTAACAGCATACTATGCCAGCTGTGCCTAGTGGTGTCCACCTCAAGTCTGCGCCCACCTCAAGTCCACTCCACCAGTGGAGTCCACCTCCTCTTTGAGGAGCAATGGCATTATCTTAGCATGGAAAATTCCAGAAAAAAAACCCAAAACTGTAACATTCTTTCCTTGGCTTTGTTCTGTTTTGTTTCATTTTTTAACCTGCTGGGGGCAGCACAGATGAAGTGAGCCTTTTGGCAAGGCTACTGGAGTGAGGAGAGGGGAAATGGCTTTGTGGGCCAGGACTTGAGGGACTATTGCGTGCGAGGGCAGGAGCAGTATTAGGAAGATGTTACTGAGTCATTTGGATGATAAAACATTGGTTTTAGGTTAGACTGAGGTAGAATTATGTAGGGTCTCTGAATGAAAGCCAGATGATGAAACTGGATATGGTAAAAAGCAATGAGCTAGCTAGGAAGCAGCCTCAGAAAGCATTGCCGGAGGAGGGAAGTGGAGAAGGCAGTTTTCTTGCTATTGTAGAAATAGTATTTAGTTACAGTAATAATATTGTGTATTTGAACATCACCTTGCTGAAAGCATGTGCTTCTCTATCACCTTTTGCCCTCCAGATATTTAGACACTTCATCTTAAAGAAACGTGTGTTGTTGACTTTTGGGGGAGTTTTTCACTATTCAGACTTCTGAAGCCTAATTCCGATATTTTTCCTTTGAGTACTGCATGATGAGAAACGGTAAGGCCGTTAGCACACGTGCTACAGGAACAGCTCTGCTCAGTCCCCCAGAAGGGCAGCGTGCCCCAGCAGAGCGTCCTGTTTTCCATGTGCACGGCAACGTCCAAGCGGAGATCAGTGAGCCAGCTCTCTTGGAGCTCTCTTTTAAGAGTTATTGCAAATACTTGTCCAAGTCACGCAGTTGTTACACCCTGGAACAGGCCATAGGTTAGATGCAAAGGTGCTTAATTTTTTTTAGTCAATATTTACAATTATTATTGTGAAATACCAACCAAGTTTAAAAAAAAGAAAGCAAACAAGCTGTATCTTGATCAAAGTGCGCTGCTGTGTGCTTCCCCTTCAGCACACTGCTGGTACCCTGGCAAGCTGCCCAAAGGAGCCAGCGGCAGCCGGCGGCTCGGGTTGCAGTTTGTACACCTGACGTGTAGCTGAGGGCCAGGGACTCCTGCTCGGCGTGGGAACAGCTTCGCAAAGCCACCGTCCTCGGCCTTACAGTATTTAATTAAAATACCTCATCTAGAGGCTGTTTATGATGGCAGCGCCAACCTATGTGTTGTGCTTTTTGTTCTCCCCCCAGCTCCCGATGTGTTGCACACAATCAGTGAGGCACCGCATGGGTTGCTGCTCTTAGACACTGACAACTGAGGAAATTAAATTCTGAGGCGGAATCGGTTAAAAGCCTGACTAAATCAGTGTTGTTTTTCTATGGCAACTGAAAAAACATAATTATTTAAAGGATAAATTTTTATTGCTAATGGATTTTTTTCAAGACAGGAAGTTTTTTGCATTTTGTTTATACCGGGACACTCTTAAATACATTTTGGGATTTTTAATTTTTTTTTTTTTTTTTTT